AGATAATATGTAGGCTTGAAATTCTATTTAGAACGATTGTGGCCGCTTTGTTAAGAACCAAATGCAATGGCTGCTTTGTTTAAAACAAAAGATATCAAAACGGGCAAGGAATATTTCAAAATGGTGCAAATGATCGTGAAAGATGAGGGTTACTAATATATTGCTACCAGAGCAACATTTGATGCCTGATCATGCCCACCCAGCCCACCTTCCGCCCCACAAACACACACACACACCAACAAAAAGGACACTGTCTGCCTAATGACCTCTGCCCATCCCACCTCCAGCCCACACAACCTTTTTTCCAATTCCCATCACGACGAATGCACAAGTTTTCTTAACACACAACTGCCCAAAAATAAAAGAAAATATATTCCAAAAGTCTTGAAAGTTCATATAAACCAAATTCAACTGTACTTATATTCAGCAAGTCCAAGAAATCAATGCAAACTTAAGCCATAACATGAATGAGCTGGCTCGAAGAGCCCTTTGATTTTGTGTTTGAATCGTTTTTGCTCTTCCACACAAAAACGTGTCACGTGCATTCACCTCAGTATCTTCTGCCAAATTGTAGACAAATCCTCGACTCACTCTAAAATTCTCCCTCCATGCTTCCGGAATGATATTCGGTAACCAAAGTTGTCCCACAACGCACTCGTACTTCCTGGTAGAACTCAAAACCGTCAAGGCCTTGCTTATCAACAGCCATTTTATCGCTTGATGCCTATTTTTTTGGACAATGGCAATGAAAGAGGCCTGATTATCTTGCGTATTCTTTTTGCATAATCGCCTAGCATGTGTAACATTAAAAAACATGTCGCAATGCTGTTTCAAGAAGCTTAAGTAGCAGTGAAACAAACGCAATGCGTCTGTCGGCCATATCGCTTTCGTCTTAGTTGGTGCGCAGGGTAGACTAGATCCAACACCGTGACGTCCGTCGGTTTCAGAACCTCCGTTTTCGTCAGCCGAATGAACCGTTCCACATGATCTAGAACAGACCTCTTAAACCATTCTATGCGGCCAACATATGTCAGAGGTTAGGCCGAATAACGGGATGCTTACGGAGCTCTAAACATTTAGTCGATGTTGACGACACATCGTCATTTTTGAAATTAATATTTCAAGCTGTTTGCATTTCTACTCAGGCGAAATACGGGATCAACTTATCTTTAAATTTTTCTTGCTGCTGTTTAGTTATTGCCATACAATGTTACCTCTGCACGGGGGAAGAGTAAATTTTTGTTAGTAACGTTATGTAATCAGTAATTATTACTTTACTAATTTTTATCAATTTATCAGAAATTGTTATTTACGTAAAAGTAAATAGAAGTATTGTAAGTAAGGTAATATGATTAGTAGCATCGCTGTAATACAGTAAAAACCCGTGTATACGAACCTAAAATTTAAGAACCTACTAGGCTAAAATTTCCCAGTTAAGCATCTTTAAAGTTTGTTCAAATTTGATACAGCACATCGTATGCGATACAAAAAGGTAACAAAAACTAGCCAGAACACCGGCAGTGTTTTAAGACCATAATACTGTACTGTCAATACATCCATAGCTGTGCAATAAATGCGACTGTAGGGCATTATGGGGCTAGCATATAGCGCAGTATCACACCCACACCCACACCCACACCCACCAATACAAGTTGTTTTTTTAAAACAAAAATTAAGAACGTGATTGAAAATCTAGGTAGCCTTATTTCGCAATAAATATCGGTTCTATGAGAACCTACAGAGGTTAACTTGAAAAAACCTAGTTTGTTATATTCGGGTTTTTCTTGTATTGTAGATTGTTACAGTTTTGTATTGTCCACTTTGTAAATATTGTTTCTGTAACTGGAGTAAAAATTAAGGAAACAAGATTTACTTTGTTCCAGGAGTACCACAGGTGGTCCTAACAGAGCGGAAGGACCTTTAGTTGAGAAGCTGTACAGATTTTATTTTCTCGGTCCAACCGAGACTTCCCTCATTTCTTCGCTCCTCTGCTATCATCGCGTCATTTGTTATTTCGCCCGTTATTTATACTAACGGAACTCACGGAACAGGTTGCGTAAACTGTTCTGCGTAAACTGAAAATTTTTCGCTTAGTGGAGTCTGTAGTCTATTTTTGGTAATTAATGTTTCTTTTATCAGTCTACCATATTATTGTCAAGTAGCAGGAAATTCGTTTTCAAAAAACTTAACGACTGTTTCGAAGGGATACAGTTAATTTTGTTTCCTGAGAATGGAGAGAAACAAAATTAACTGTTCCCTGAAGGAAAAGTTGTTAAGTGAAGGAAAAGTTGTTAAGTGATTTTGTGTTTAGATCAACGAAGACATTGAAAGACGCTATGTGAAATTTGGATAAGTTACAGGTATGTACATTGGAGCGTACAGCACCACAATACTAAAATTGCCTCGCCACCCTCAAACACGCTCTGCAACGGAAGTCGTCTCAATATTCGCGGATAACAATGCACTGTTGCTCTTGACGTCATTGATTTTCTAATCCTAACGAACTTTATACCGGAAACAGTTTCATCATTAGATTTTATGTGACCGCAAAGTAACCACAACAGCGTGGGATGTTTGGAAAAATATTCCAAGTTGTGAACAATTAGATTATGAACTCAAGAAACCTGCATCAGTCATCACACATAGAAATCTAACTTGTTTAAGTATACAGATCTACAAGTCGACTAAAAAATAACGTCAAGACAGGGTCATCTTTTTCTCTCTTTTTTTTTTACAACAGCGCACTGTTGGACTACGCACCGCTTTCAGTAACTATCATGAAATAGATAATAGAGTATGAGTACCGCTAGCCAACCAGATTGCAGCACGAGTAAAATAAAGCCGGTAGATTTATTTTAAATAACATAAAAAACTATTAGCTAACCTGAGTCCCCGAAATTTGTGTTAAAAGAGGAAGATAAAACCTTGGAATCGAGGGTGATGTCACAGGGCCTCTAGCTTGTTAAACCAGTTTCGTCATACGCTGTGCACAGGCCAATGACACGCTGGCGCTTTGCTAAATGAAATAAATTCTCAAAACATGAACCGGGGGTGCATGAATTACCACCTGCGTACAGTTCGTGGATGGCTTCTGTGGACCGCCCTTACTTTTTGAAGATGAGCAATCATCATTCCACATCTGACTAAGATAACCAGGTGTATGACATTTTGTGTTCCTATTCAGCCATGTAAATCCTCCAAAGTAACGTAATGACACCAATAACAAAGCATGTAATGATTTGTGGACTACGAACACAGGGGTGGTTTATGGCCCCCCTGGACCATTTTTGTTTGACGGTTACCTTTTATACACCCTTAGTGACCGTACTATGCATAAATTTGGCGTGGTAGTTCATGTTCAGTATAGCACGAAGAGTTCAACTTCGACACGAGATAGGAGCCTCAAAATGAATCGTTTGCTGTTCACTCTGACTGTCGTTGTTCTGATGGCTGCACATGGTGGGTATTGTACAACTTTGAAACTGAATGAATTGTAGAGTTATCATATGTATAAACAACTTCGTCAGTTTTCGGTATGATCATCGCTAAACAATGCTGTTTGTAGGTGGCCGACAGTGAAACAATTCAAACACAAATGGGTGCAGAATTACCGTCGAGTATCATCAGTAACATTTGTCCTTAGCATGTTAGGTTTTCTCTCCGTCAACCGCACAATAACCCTGGAAAATGCGGGTGTATAATGTGTAGTAAAATAGATCATCAATCTTATTGTAAAGAAGCAGAAGAAATCCAGGTTGAAAATCATTCAGATCTTTTAGTATTTTTTGTTTTCGCACGATTTACGTGCAATGAATGGAGTTGGATTTGGCTCAATGTGAATTGGTTTCGAATATGGGATATTTTAATGGCTGAGGTCATACTCGGGTGTTTAATGTGAAAAAGTGCCTTTGCAATTGTTTTAAGAGACTCAGACACGTACGCAACCACCTAGATATCGGCTTAGCGGACTTTCACTCACGTAAGGGAAAAACTACATTTTACACTCGGTTCAAGAAGAAGAAATCTAATCGTTATATTCCTCGAGTGGAAGAAGAACTTTTTGGAAAGACCGCTAATAGCCAAATATGAGCTTGTAAGCGAGGGACATCACACGCCCAGAGCACATATAGACAATATTTACGAAACACGTACATTTAGTGAGCGAATATCATCACTCTTACCGTAGCTGTTGCCGAATTTTACTACCTGAAAAAGAAGACGCAGTTATTCTTTAAATGATTTCGAGCTGAACTGTTTTAATATGTTTAGAGACGCAGTGTAGATTGTTTAATTAACTCTCTTTCTACACAATTTTTCCTCATCATCTATGGCTTCGAAATGTACTGCTTGCGACACAGTTAATGACCATGACGACTGTTGTAGTAAGAGCAATTTGAAAAAAAAAAAACATTGGTGGTTGCTTTGTGATAGATGCATAAGAACCTGGGCAAGAAGAGGAAGACGACTGGTGTCGAGTTTTGTTGTAATGCTCAGTTATTTAACGCGGTGATCCTAAATACCTCGGGGCGCTTTGCTTGTGTTCAAGTTCTAAAGTTGTCGTTTTTTAAGCGAAACGAGATTATTAATTGCGTTGTTTTTGTTTTGTAAAGCCATCTGCAATAACAAGTCGATCACCGATACAGAACTATTCAGAACCACACCACATGGTAAAGAGTATTTAAAACGAGGATTTAGGACTTGAGCAAAAACTTTTTAAAGATGTACTGACATATTGAACAATATGCGACCCATTGGGTAATATACGACCCTTTAGACCCATATGATCAATACGTGGACTTTATCCACAGTACATGCAAATATTAAGTGATTCTCTTTGAAGTGCTCATTTGCAACTCAAGCTCTGGAAAAATCACAATGCGGTCTAACTGTTTCAATGACGCGGAGTGATGCAGCATTTTTAGACAGTTTTGCGATGATGCAATATTCAGAGCTCCAAATGCCTCCCTCCTAGAAAAGAGGACGCCTTTAACGAAATCGTGAGCATTCACTTTATTGTTACTTAACATTTTGTGTGGAAGAGGTAGTTGATGACACACAACAATTTACAAAAATATTCATTTGTTCTGACTATGATCAGTGAGAGTGACTGTCAGGTTATCAAAGATGGCAAAAATTATGGTTGGAAACAATGGCACTGCAATTTACGCTTCAGGCTCCCTGTCCGCGCACAGTCTTTAACTTTCGTACGCCTCCATAATGAATTAATAAACTCATAAGAAGTTTCTAACGGTCTGTCAGTTTTGAGGGCACCTTTCGAAGAAATGTGCCAATGACATCTGTGGATTTCCAACCAATCACAGCTGAGCAGAACAGTTTATAAGGTAACATGTACCCGGCAGTCGACCTCATCGCTTGAAAAAAGACTCTCAATACATTCAATTCGAGAAATCGCGATCCACATCTAAAGTGATTACATGGTGAGACAAAAGACTATACTGTAGATTAAAAATTTGGAAGTTTGCCAGCATTTTTTTCACGGACATACTGGATTTTGTTAAGATTTGAATGACGTCTGCTGGTGGCAACGCACCACGCAAGGACGTTTGACGGAATATGGATTGTGGTATGCACCTGGCTTGGCGCGCGACTTTGCGTTTCCAAATAATTTGTTGCCATATTACTCGTATAAATCGAGTGCCTATAAGCGTAATCGACCACGGAATAGATAGTGGGTGGCTTAGCCAATCATTTTACAGCATATGTGAACGTTATTAGTTTATTGTCCTGAGAGCCTTTCTCGAAGTCATTCAGTTTGTTGTTTCTAAAGTTATTCAAGTTTGTTTTCTATTTTCTTGTACCATCAGGTTATGCGTTGAAATGCTACCAGTGCGTTGGCACTGAAGATACTTGCAGCAAGAGCAGACTGGAAAGTAACAAGGCCATCTATTTGAAGGAATGTCCTTCCATCGCTGACAGGTGCGCTAGGAGTTGGTCTAGGAGAGGTGACGTGAACGCTGTGGGGAACGACTGCGCCAACGAAGCCGTCTGTGACGCAGCAAAAGAGCTTTGTGACAAGCTTAAAGATTCTATCAAGGACTACAAGTGCGGGGTTGGTTGCTGTACTGGCGATGGCTGTAATGCAGGCTCGCCCGTGACCTTCAGCTTCTTCCTGTTGATCGTCTCCTCTGTGCTGGGCTTGGCACTAATGAAGTAGACCGCAGACCAAAGATGCTAACGTGTTCCTAGCACCCTTGATTGTAGAATTGTGAGCGTCGTAAGACATGTCATCCAAGATGGACAGTCAATATTACTCGCAAAAAAAGTAGATTTGTAGATCTGAGTGAATTTCCTCGTTTTGTAAGCTTAGCAGTTGGATTAAACGTTTTGAAATAATCGTAGACAGCAATGATGCTTTGATGCCAAACAGCTTTGTTACAAATGAATGCACATCAGTAGCACTACTTCCATGAATATCAATCGCTACATTGTCCTTGAATTTCAGACGCGATCATGATGACGACCGTGAATTTAGGTATTCCATTAATGCATCTCAGAAAAGCACTTACGAGCCATTTAATAAAAGCATTATTGTATCGCTCGTGGGCTTCGAGCCGGACATGATAAACCAACACAACTTGATTTTTGCCCCCGCAGGGTTTTTGGCCCCAGAGGGCCAAAAACCCGAGGAGGCA